TGACAGCTCAAGCCCGGATTCTTATTCCGTAAATTACCGGTATTACGCCGATCAAGCTGCAAGTAAAGGCAACACTTTTAGCCTGCGAAAATGAAAACAGCCTGAGGGCTGCGTAATTTCCTGTTTGTCCGACGCTTCGTTTTCGTGTCATTATCAAAATTACTGCTACCTTTTACATAACACGGGTGGTCTCTATAAAGCGATAATCAGGATCGCAAAAAAAATCAAATCATTTGAAACACGTACTCTACATCTCTCTCCCTTCTGAAATCCGTCTCAGTGATCATGGGCTGGTCCAGAATCTATTTTTTCGAAAACGTTTTGTATTGTCGGCGTTTCTCGTTAAAACCTAGTTGTTTTGTCATGGACAAGGTGAAGTGGACACTGCATATGACGCTGTTAGGAAGAAGTCCACCCCAACCTTTTCTCGTTATTTTCACGGCTTTCGTCCATCGATTTCGCACCTTCGGATCGATTGGAAACGTGTAAATACTTAAACTATGACTATACGCATTACTGCAACCGCCCACAACACAACGTTTAACCATCATAAAAGTTTGTTGTGAAAACAACTTCTAAAAATTCGCTCTCTCAAAAATTAAAATAGACAAAAGAAACGCCGATTACAAAATGTATATCGTTTAAAAGTACAGTTGTACATTGAATGACACAGTGATATAAAAGTACGGCCCAGGGGTATGGCTTCCTCTCATATTTTTGCATTTGGTGGCGCACTTTCGGCGAGAGTCGGAAATCCGGAAACAGTCGACCGTTTCAGGATAGGTGGGCGTGGCTACAGCACGGGAAATATCTCAAATTTACTTGGATACGAGTAATCATTTTCAGCAAAAAAATCAATAATTGCCCATTTCAGTGGGGCACAGATCTAAAATGGGAAGCGTGTGGGCGGGCATTGCACAGGCACTTTAATACTGTATATCTCAAGTATTGATCATCACATTTGAATAAAACTTGGTACATAAATGGTCTAGGACAATAGACAGCCTGATTAATTTTGGGTTAAAATCTGTTCATATTAATTCTCTAATTAGCATAATAATTAATATTCTTTTGGTTCTAATCACATTTCAATGAAACTTGGTACATTGTGCAGACCTTATTAGTTTTACACTTAAATCTGTTCGTTACCTTATTTGCATAATTAATTTTCTGCGTTTCCATCAACATCTCAAGTTCAAGTAATTTTGAATTAATTTTTAATGTGTCTCCAATACTCTCAGCACACGGGAGTTCTTTCTAAGCTTTCTTTGATTTGGCTGTTGCTATGGCAACGGTGGACCAAAAGAAATTTTCAGAATTTTCCTAATAACTAGGGTGAAGGTGTGACCTACTTACCAAGTTTGGGCAAAATCGGCCAAGGCAAAAAAATCACAGAAGAATTAATACGTGAAAACACTGGGAATCACACACACAGACAAACACACACACACACAAACAAGCCGGTAGGCTGGTTGGCGATCCGCTCCGCTCAAAAACAAGCAACATGTTGTTGGCTGTTTCAGTGGTGTGACATAAACGTGAAGCTAACGTCGGTTTATAACTAATACGAAGTTCGCAAACACCATTCAGTCTTTAGAAGTCACTTAGTTTATTACTAAGCAAATGACACCGAATAAACGGCAAGGTAAAGACTATGTCTAATTATAGTAAACACGTACTGCGTGCGTGACTCGAACCGGCGCTCGCGTACGGCACCTAATCGCCTAGCTTCATGCCACTACACGTCTTCCCCTCGGCCACCGGGCATCCCCAATAAAGGATGCTTAATAACCGAGCTTATTACGTGCAGAGAACATGAAACCCGTCCACGCGATCCGCGCCACACAGCGTGGCCAGAATGCGGCAAAGGCCTTCATATCTGGCTGTAGTAGGATGGTGAAAGTAATGGTACAGCATTGTAACAGTGAATAAGTACTGAGAAATAATTTTAAACTCATAGTTGCTGTCGACATAGGAAGTAAAGTAAGCAAATAACACCGAATAAACAGTTTATTACTAGGACCACAGTCACTCTACTAGTAGAGTGACTGTGCTAGGACGTATTCTGCTGTTACATTTTTTATTTCCAACCGTTTTGCGATAGCATTTTCTAGAATGAAGCGTTTCCTGTAAATGCTGGAAAGCGAAATAACGAAATGGTAAATATTTACCTAAATTGCAGTGTGTTGACCTTCATAACAATATACTTCATAATGTAAAACACTAGTCATGGTGAGTTATTTAAATATACGACTCCTAATCGAAAAATATGACCACAGTCCAGAATTTCAGACGGC